ACTCCATTTATTTATTTTTATTTCCTTATTTTTGAAACATTGTTATATATTTACTTATTTACATTTATTTACTATTTAGTTATTTAGTTATTATTTAGTTATTTGCAGTACTGGGGATTGAACCCAGGGCCTTTGCACTGAGCTACATGCCCAGCCCATTTTTATTATGAGACAGGGTCTTGCTAAATCACTAAATTGCCCAGGCCAAGTTTGAACTTGTGATCTTTCTGCCTCAGCCTCCTGGATTCCTGGGAATGTGGACATGCACCACCAATAACACTTTTGGGTAGTATTTAAGCAACATCAAGGATAGTGCTTGTTTAAAGTCTTTGTAATGTTAAAATGACCAGGCATTAGAAAATGTGACAAATATATCCTGTAAATGTACATCTTCCAATATAAACTGTGTAATTGAGTAATTCTTTATTTTAGATTTGAGATTTTGAATAAAAGAAGGTTTTCCCCTAAGTGAGCAAACGGCACTGCAATGTTTAAAAGATCTTGATATATTTAATTTATCAAAAACATCAAGTGCTTGGGCAGGTTTTGGTTCTTCAATATTTCTATTGAACTTCCAAAGAAAATCGAACAGTTTAAATTTGTGAAAGCAGAACATTTAAGGGAATTTAATTAACTAAGATTCTAAGTGGGATGCGAAGCCGCTGAAAGCGGAGTTGGTTGAACATTAATCAAAGAGCTCCCTGAAAGTGGCTGTTACATCTCTTGGTTTATAAATAGAAGTGATACTCGTAAGCAGAGCCCAGCAGCTTAGAGAAGACAATGGTTTAATTGGTCGCCTTAATGCACTGAAAATCACCTTCAGAGCAGAAGCCACGGATCCCTCCCCCATGGCACCAGAAGCCTCTCATGTGCTCTCCGGCCTTGGTGTCCCGAAGTGTCTTTGTCACCAGCATAAGCCTGGAGAAACAGTGCTAGACACAGCCAGATGTCCCCGACTTCCGTCTGCCCTTTGTCCACAGCTCTGGGAGGCAGCATCTGCGAAGCCCTGGGGACACCTACTCCCCAGTATTCATGGCCTGTGGAATCCTCTCCCCAGTGTGCACTGAACAGCGACTCCCTTCTGGCAAACAGAAAATGGCAGAAATGATGGAATGGGACTCCTGAGGTTCAGTTCCAAAAGGACTGTGACATATATATATATTTTTTTAATTGGCACATAGTAATTTTGTACATATTTATGGGGTACAGCCTGACGTTTCAATATATGTATACAATGCATAATGATCAAATCAGAGCAATCAGCATATCTCTCACCTTAAAAATTTGTCCTTTCAGGGCAGAGGATGTAGCTCAGTGGTGCTGTACCTGCCTGGCAAGCACAAGGTCCTGAGTTCGATTCCTGTACTGATAATATATATCCTTTCAGCTGGGTATAGTGACATGTGCCTGTAATCTCAGCACTCTAGAAGGCTGAGGCAAATTCAGTCTCAGCCTGGGCAGTTTAGGGAGATTCTGTCTCAAAAAAAAAAAAAAAAAATAGCCAAGCATGGTGGTGAACACACACTACCATCATGTGAACTCTGCTCTTCTCTTTCGTTCCCCCAGAAGGCATTGTTCTTGAAGCCCAGATACTTTAGTCTTTTCATATTCTAGGCCAGCAGCTGTCAGGTAACCCATAGGCCCCTGGTGGCCAGAGGCTGGCCAGTGAGATAAAAGCCTCTGGTGGCCTTTCTTCCCCAGTCTGGATCTTCAAAGGAGAGCCTGATGACATCCAAATTACCCAGGCCCAGTCTTTTGTGATAGCAGCAAAACAGACTAAGCCAGTCTCACCAAACCGTGTCCCCAGCAAAAGGTGCACTCTTGTGGATAAAGCAACAGGACAAGGGAATCAAATGGAAACGGTAAAGAGATTGGAGAGGAGACTGCATCTGTTTCCTGATGCTGCTGTAACAAACTACCTCAAATGTAGTGGCTTGAAAGAGCAAAATTTATTCTCTTACACTCCTCGAGGTCAGAAGTACAAAATTACATCCCTGGGCTAACATCAAGTCATCAGCAGGGCAGTTTCCTTGTGGAGACTGAAGGAAGAACCCATGTCCTTGTCTTTCTTAGTTTTTGCTGTTTGCTTGCTTGCTTGAAGAGATGAGGTCTCACCATGTTGCCCAGGTTGGTCTCAAATTCTTAGGCTCAAGTGATCCTCCTGTTTCAGCTTCCCATGTAGCAGGTACTACAGGTATACATCATCATCCCTGACTTCCTTTTCCAGTTTCTAATGGCCACTTGCATTCCTTGGCTTGTGGTCTCTTCCTCCATCTTCAAAGCACATCCCTCCAATCTGTTTCCATCATGACATCCACATTCCTCTGGCACCTCCTGTGTCCCTCTTACAATGATTACTGATTCCATTCAGGACCCACCCAAAAAATCCAGTGTAATCTCCCCATCTCAAGATCCTTGATCACATTCACAAACCTCAGATTTACATTTACCTTTACATTTTGCCATGTAAAGTGACATATTCACAGGTCCTAGGGGTCAGGATGTGGATACCTCTGATGAAGAACTATTCAGTCTACCCCAGAGCCCATGGGCAAATGAGAGAAGCCGACACATTTCTGGCAGACGAGTCAGGTGGAGGAACAGAAACACGAATCTGTTGAGAGGAGCGTACCATTTCCGAGGGAGCTGCAGGAAAGTGGAGGCCAGGGCCACTCAGACTGTAGGAAGCAGGCAGGAGGGAGGTGAGGGAGACCAATGGACTCACTGATAGTCATCTGTGCTTCCTGCACCCTCCCCTCCCTGCTTAACAGGGTACAGGACACCCAAAGTCTAGGGAAACCAGAACTGAATACTGGTTCCCTAAAGTTCGAACAGCCTGAGGTGGTAACTCGGGCAGATGCTGGCATCTGAAATAGAAAGAAAAAAAAAAAAAAGGCAACCAGCCCTGTCCAGGCCCTTGTGGCAGAGGCCGGGCAGCTGGAAGTGGGGCTCCTGGTTGCTCACTGACCCAGCCCATGGACAGCAAGCTTCACACCCAGACTCAAAGCTCCCATTCATACCCTGATGCAGGGCACAGGCCTGGTGGAAAAGTAGCCTGGCTTTGAGAGCAGGAAGCCACTTCCATCACCTGCAGACACTAGCTGTGTCCCACCTTTGAGAACACCTACTGACAAGCCAGGATCACCAGATAAGACAGAAAACTTTGAGCAGGGCAGAGAGAGCTCAAAGTCAAGGCTAATTCAGGCCCCAGTCAAGGTACAACAACTATATTTGATTGTTGTGAGTCTTGGGGCGCCTCTCTCTCTCTCTCTCTCTCTCTCTCTCTCTCTCTCTCTCTGTCTCTTTCTAAAGGTCCTGGCCAGGTATCTTGTGGGTGACTGCCTGTTTCCTCATTATTAATTCAGGCTCACGACTAGGGATGTAGCTCAGTGGCAGAGGCCCTGGGTTCAAGCTGCAGCACTGGGAAGAAAGGAAGGGTGGGAGAGAGGAGAGAAAAGAAAAGAAATAACAGGACAGAAATTTGCACAGGCAATTTTGTGTCACATGTAGAGACGCTCAAGTGCATCGGGATGTTACTGTTGAGGAGGCTGTTTGATCCCTTGGTCTACAGAGATTCCTCCCGCCCCATTGTGTGGGTTCCCTTTTCCTCCTTGGTGATGAGGAATCATCTAGGGGGTGTTCATTTTGGACTCTTCCCAGACACTTTTACCTATGGCTCTGGGATCCTTCCACCATCCAGTTATTATACCGGAGACCTCCTGGGCTGCTTCTAATTGATCTGTAGTAAACATGAAGAAGTAAATTGTTTAATGTCTGTAAACATATATCGTCTATACAGGCCACATCTGCTTCACAGCAGATAATAATGGCATCAGTCATCGCAGTGGCAGGGCTAGTCTCTTATCTTATCTATAAACCTAAAGTTTCTTCATAAACTAGGCCGCCAAACTTTTTAGGCAGTGAGATTGGCCTGAAGGAGCAGTTGGCTATTTATAACCGCTTGGCTACTAAGTGCTACTCCCCTCTACTCACATGATCTTGGAGAACTAACCCCATCTGGCTGGGGACAGCACCTCACCCAGAGCTGAAACACTTTCCTCATCTTGCTTAAAGTAGCTTGGGTGGGTTCCTATTGCTTGTAGTCAAATGAATGCTAAGCTATGGAAGCCAGCAAAAATGACTCCGGACTGACAGCTCTCTGACATTCCTCCTGAGAGAGCCCTCTGACAGTACCTAGAGCTGATGTAGAACCACAGGAGGTGATGGGGAATGAATCACTGACACAAGTTTGACATCTGTCCTTAGAGACACACCCACAGGGTTCATCCTAGGCCTGAGAGGATGGCACTGTCCTGCTGATCTTGGAGATTTGGGTGTCCCTAAAGTAGAGGAAAACAGGCTTTTCATTGCTACAGAAAAGGCCCGGACTTCCCAGAATCCAGCCCTGGAACACAATGTTCAGAGGAGGAGATGATCCCTGCCTGTAATCCCAGCACTCTGAGGCTGAGGCAAGACGATAGTAAGTTGGAGCCCAGCCTGGGCAACACAGAGACTTAGAGAGACCCTGTCTTAAAGGAAAAATAAGGGTGGGGGGAGGCGGTGGCCTGAGGATGTAGCTCAATCCAAAGACCCTGGGTTCCCTCTCCAGTGCTGGGGTGAGCTGGATGGGGGAATCCAAATATTACTCAAGTCCCAGCCAAGCCGTTTAGGAGGCGTCGACGGGTGCAGGATCCAAGAGCTTTCAGGAATGGTGGAGGCGGCTTCAGGCAGAAGGCCAGGCGGGGAGGGGAGGGGGGGAGGGACACGGACAGATGTGGTGAGGGCGGGGGGCTTCCGTGGAGGTGGAATCCGCCCAGAGGAGGTGCCCGGGGTGTGAGCCCAGGCCGGGTCTCAGATTGCAGGAAGCCCCGCGGGAGGGGGAGGGGAAATGGGGGGAGGGCTGGGGGAGGAAAGGTCTTCCCCTTCCTGGGGGGCGGGAACCTGGGGCATGGGACTGGGCCCCCCCCCTCCGCCCTCGTCCCGCCCGCCGGCCACCTCGCAGGGCCGCGTCCCCGGCTGGCTGGGCCGGGCGGATGTCGGGGATCCCCTACCGCCGCCCCGAGCCGGCCGCCAGGTGAGCGCCAGGACAGGTAGGGACCCAGGTCTGAGCGAGTGTGGCGTCCTCACCGCAGCTGGGGAGATTCTGGCCCCGGCCCTGGCCGGAACGGGGTGGGGGGTCCCGGGAGCCCTGGCGCCACTTCCCAGGGCCCTGCTTTCCGAGACTCCTCTTACAAACCCGCATTGCACAGAAAGAGCTTTGCTTCCGAGCCCACCCCCGCTCACCCCACCCAGACCCACGCGGGCGCTGTGGGCCCTGAGGCCGGAGCTGCTACGTCTTCTCGCCTCGCAGCCCCTTCCGAAAACCCTGCGCCCCGGGCCTCGCCGAGGGCCCGGCCTCGCTTCAGGGACTTGGGGACGGTATGTGTTCAGCATAGCCACGCCTCTGAATGTAAGTTTTGTTCTTCTAAGTTACTTTTGCAAGGTTCTAGAGCAAGTTCCTTCGACTTTACCTAGCATCCATTTACACTCTTTTGAAAAGACTGAAATAGTATGAATCTGCTTTTAAGATACAGAATCATTGTTTAAATGTCCCAGGAACACATGAGAATAAACGACCAATAAGACAGACATGGCTTTGCATGAAAAAACAATTCTCGAAACAACAGTACCTCTTCCGCAGACAGCCAATCAAACATTTTTTGTAATCAACTTGCTTTTCAAAAATGGAGAAAGTAACTTGTGATACTGGTGCATCGTTTTGTTTTGTTTTGTTTTTTTAACATTTTCTCCTTTGTATTTCTTAGATAATCGTTTCCAAATCTTTAAAGCAACTTCTTGTATATTTTCTTCCATTATCAACTTTTAGACAGTGTGTTCACTGATCCTCTTTAAAATAGGAGACAGCTGGGCCGGGGATTTAACTCAGTGGTTTCGCCGCCTGCTGCGCGAGCACAAGGACCCGAGTTCGATCTCCGGTACCAAAAGAAAAAAAAAAGGAGACAATTTTCATTAGCTCGTTTTTGCCCTTTCTGTATAATCACTGCATTACTAAGTTTCTCTGTTAGCTTCTTTCCTAATACAGAGTCACTTTTTAAACTTGTATACCTGCGCTGACAGTGCAGTCCACTGGTACAGCGAGGCCCTCAGATAGATCCCCAGTACCCAAGAAACAAAAATAAAGAATAAACTTGTATTTCTGGTGAATATACCCAGTATCTGTTGATCCCCCGCCCTTTTGTAAGATTTGCCTGAGGAGCCTGTTTTAAAAGATGTATTTTAAAAATAGATTGGGTCGGGGATGTGGCTCAGTGGCGCTGCGCCTGCCTGGCAAGTGCAAGGTCCTGAGTTCGATCCCCAGTACCGCAAAAAAATAAAAATAGATGTCTAGGGCTAGGGATTTAGCTCAGTGGTTCAGCTGCCTGCCTTGCAAGTGCAAGGACCTGAGTTTAATCCCTGGTACTAAAAAAAAAAAAAAAAAATAGATGTCTAAATATTTATGTAAAAAGTATTTTTATTTTTTATCCAATAAAGTTATACATTTGGTTCCCAAATCAAATAGAAATGAGTCTATCTTAATTTTTCTCTGATAAAAGTAACAATATCTTGAAGAAAATTGGAAAAGATGGGGGCTGTGCTTTAAGAGTTGTAAGGAGCCAGGCGTGATGGTGCTCCCCTGTAATCTCTGCACTCTAGAGGATGAGGCAGGAGAATCACTGAGTTGAAGGCCAGCCAGGGCTACATAGTGAGTTCAAGGCCAGCGACTTGGACTACATAGCGAGACCCTGTTTCCAAAAAAAAAGAGTTTAAGGAAACCTGACAACTCCCATCCCTGGTAAGACCTTATTAGCTAGAAAGAGTCACAAGACCTGGGGACAGCATGGGAAATCGGTATTAGATGACAGAATGGCTTTCTCTGTATGCTGTGAAGTGGAATTATGGTGTAGCCTGGTAGAAGGCCCTGATTCTTTTTTCAAAGGTCCATGTTTGAAAAAAGAGAGAGAGCAAATATGGCAAAATGTAGGGCCATTGGTGATGCTCATTTTACTGGTCTTTAAATTTTTCGATGTGATGAAAATGTATTTTTTATTTTATCTTTTATTTATTTTATTTTGGTACCGGAGATCGAACTCAGGACCTTGTGCTTTCCAGGCAGGGGGCAGAACCACTGAGCTAAATCCCTGGCCCTGTCTTGTTTATATTTTAATCCTCCAAGGCTCCTTCTAGTTTGAGCTGTTCAGGCCTTTTGCATGTTAACTTACCCAAGCCCTGACCTTCACTTTCCTTAGGTTCACTATTCAGAACCTCTGCCCGATCTCCCTAACTTCCTTCCACCTCCTGGCCTCAGTGGGAGCTTTTGTTTTATACTGAGCTGGTGCAGTAGGCCCCTGTAAGTCAGACCAAACCAAAATGGAGTCACTTGTGCCCACTGCCACATAATGTGACAGAGACTTTAAGGAAGCAGATAAATCCCAAAACAGACTTTTTTTTCCTGAAAGCAGGCGATTCCAGTCTACCTGAGCAAGTCCCCTCTGCCTTAATTCTTAAGGAAGGTAACCCAAAATAAACTGATATTAACCAGTCCTGTGTCCTGTCCACGCCCGCCCCCCCCACCATTGTTATGTTCCCTTGTTGCCACCTTATAAGATCCACTTCTGGGCCAGGGATTTAGCTTAGTGGTTCCACCGCCTGCCTCACAGTGCAAGGTCCCAAGTTTGATCCCCGGTACCAAAAAATAAAAAAATTTAAAAAAAAAACATTGAGACAAGATCCACGCTTCTGTGGCTGCCCGGCCTGGACCTCTCAATTCTATTTTGTAGAATGGAGGCTGCTCCAATTTATGAATCATAAATAAACACTTACTAGAAGCTGGATGTAATCCCAGCTACTCAAGAGGCTGAAGCAGGAGGACCATAAATTCTAGCTTGGGCAATTTAATGACTCAGCAAGACACTGACTCAGTATTTTTACAATTTTTTGAATTAAAAAAGAGAGTTGTAGATGCAGCTCAATTTGAAGGCCCTAGGTTCAATCTCCAATACCACAAAAACAAAAGGAACAACAGTGTCAAACTAGATCTGTGACTGAATTTGTTGTGATTTTGTCTTTTGATGCTGCTCTGCCCCTTACTTATCAAGTGACCTTGGGCACATTTCTTGCCTTGAAACCTCAGTTTCCCCAAGTGGAAAGGAGAATAGTGTCTAACCCTTGGGTTGTGAAGCTTCTGTGGGATTTTTCTAAAGAATTTCCCACAGGCCTAGAGCAAACTAGATGCTCAGTTAATAGAAGCTGTTAGTTTTTGGTGAAAGAATTTTCTTAACTACCATAGTCTAGGGCCGGGGATTTAGCTCAGTGGTTTCACTGCCTGCTGCGCAAGCACAAGGACCCAAGTTCGATCCCCGGTACCAAAAAAAAAAAAAAGACTAAATACTTTATTTAGGGCCGGGGATTTAGCTCAGTGGTTCCGCCACCTGCCTCGCAAGAGCAAGGACCAGAGTTCAATCCCCGGTAACAACAACAACAACAAAAAACATAGTCTACTACCCACACATGCTGTCAGCATCACAACTGCTATGGGGTCCCGCCTTCCACTCATTTTTTCTGATGGCTTTATTTATTTAATTTTTTTATTTTTATTTTTACTGGAGGTTTTGAACCCAGGGCCTTCACACTGAGCTACATTCCCAGCCCTTTTATTATTTTTATTTTTATTGATTTATTTTTGATACTGGGGATCGAACTCAAGACCTTGTGCTTGCGAGGTAGGTGGCGAAACCACTGAGCTAAATCCCTGGCCCTTTTTATTTTTTATTTTAAAACACAATCCCACTAAGTCACTAGGTTGTCCAGGCTGGGCTCACACTTGCAGTCCTCCTGCCTCAGCCTCCCAGTATCCTTGGGATTACACGGTGTGCACCCAAAAGCTAAACCCAGCTTTCTGCGGTAGATTTTTTTTTTTTTTTGGTACCGGGGATCAAACTCGGGACCTTGTGCTTTCAAGGCAGGTGGCAGCTCCACTGAGCTAAATCCTCAGCCCTCTGCAGTAGATTTTTGAATGGGCATTTTCATTCCTTGTCTTTTTTGAAAAACTGGAAGATTTGGCCACACTGAGGGCAACTTCCTACTTGGCAGTAGGTCAGGCAGTGTGCATGGGGGCCAAAGCCGTATCATCATCCCCCACTCCCTATCTCCTCCACCTGCCCGGCCTCACGTAGGGCGCTGCCACTTCCTGCAGGCATTTGAACTTGGTGTCTGTGAGATAATGTTTGAGGAGAACCCAGTGCAGAACCAGAATACAGTATAAATTTCTACTAGGCCAGCTAGGGGGTGTGTGTGTGTGTGTGTGTGTGTGTGTGTGTGTGTGTGTGTGTGAGACAGAGAGACAGAGACAGAGAGACAGAGAGGGAGAAGAAGGCACCCGGAGCTTGCTTTGATCATCAGGCTATGCAACCCCAGGCTTTCTCTACCCAGAAGAGGTGACTTAAAAAAAATCTAGGTCTGGGGATGCAGCTCAGTGGTAGAGTGCTTGCTTAGCATTCGGGAAGCCCTGGATTCCATCCCCAGCACAAGCACACATACAGGTACCCTATTCACACACTCAGATCGGCTAGGACACATCCTGATTAGCAAAGCTCAGTTTGCCTTTTTTTTTAGACAAAATCTCTCTGTATATTTCAGGCTGACCCTGAACTCACTATGTAGCCCAGGCTGGCCTCAAACTCCCAGCGATGCTCCTGCCTCAGCCTCCCAAGTGGTGGCATTACAGGTGTGCACCACCACACCCAGTAAGTTCAGTTTGCTTTCTTGAAAGGAAAGCTATATTGACTTTTTGAACATGTAAATAATTCCAAAGAGCATTATTTAAGCATGGCTTTCTGATGGCTTTTATATAACTGTTGCAGGGTAGAAACAACACAGCACTACTGTTCAGGAGCAAAAGAGTTAAAATTAGTATGGTTGAATGTAAGGGGGAGGAACATCTCCAGAAGGCATGACAAGGAAACCATTCTGAGTCCAATTTTTAAAAGATGGGCAGGGCCTGGGATGTAGCTCAGTGGCACCATGCCTGCCTGACAAGTGCAAGGTCCTGAGTTTGATTCCCAGTACCGGAAAAAAATAAAAAATAAAAAGATGGGCAATCCCAGGAGCTGACCTCGGCTGTCCTCAGGCATCACTGCTGGGAATGCAGTGCAGTCAGCAGCTCATGCTGGAAAGCTGCAGGGTGCTGCGCTGAAAGTTAAATAGACACGCACCCAGTGACCCAAGAATTCCACTGCTGGGTGTTTCCTCAGGGTGTCCACACACATTTTACATGCATGGTCATAGAAGCTTTGCTCATAATTGCCCCAAACTGGACACAACCCAAGTATCCATAATGATGAGTGGATAGAATGTGGATTATCAGTTCTGTGGAATATGACTCAGCAATAAAAAAGGAATGAACTGGTGACT